TCTCTCTCTCTCTCTCTCTCTCTCTCTCTTTATAGTGGTCTTTTGTTTTAATTGTGGAGGAACATGGATTTTGGGGTATTTTACAGAGTGACTTTGGGATTTTTTTCTCTGGGATTTTTCAGTTTTCCAGTAGGGAACACCAGAATTCCTCAGATCTGTCACCTTGGACCCAGATGACTGTGGATGACCTCCTGTCCAATTGAGGCTAGGAGGACATGCTTTGACAGTTCAAAGCAGGCCACCACACCCAGAACATCATCCAGGCAATAGCTGCTCAGATGGCCGGACAGGGGGCATACATGGCAGTAGTGCAGCACAAACGCCATCTCTGCAGCCACAGCCCACTGGCAGCTGACCCAGAGAGGCAGATGCCTCATCTGGGCCTGACAGGTGCACAGCAGGTCACAGCATCCCTCACTGCCAGACTGCTGCAGTGGGTAAAGGGCTCTCAGGGCTGCTTCAGCAGTCCAGCTGGCACAAGGGGTAGTGTCCCCAGGTACCAATTGGCTTAGCCCCAGAAGCTCCTGAGAGCAAGTAGCCCTGAGCTACTTATCAGGGCAGCTTTTAGTACTGATGGGGCCAGTACAGTGCAGCTTTTTATACTGCTGGGGACAGCATAGGTGCTGGCCCCAGGCTCTAGCTCCCCCTGGCTGCAGATCTGGGAGGAGTCAGGCAGGGCTACTTTTCCCCAAGTGGCACAATTTGCTCCACCACACAAAGTGCATGTCTGAGCACGTGCACTGAGGCAAAAAGCCTCAGCTCAAATTTGCACCACTTCTATTTGAGCTGCTGCAAGTGCATGTGCTTGCATGTGTGGAGGCGCCCACAGTGTTCATCTACACATGCTATTAAAGTAATTGAATAAATTGGTGCAGTTCACATTGGAGTGTATTGCTCCCAGGCATGCCATTTGCATGTGTATCCAGGACTACAGCGTGTTGAGTCAGGGCGGAGCAGCTCTGGCTGGCAAGGAGTCCCTGGGATTAGCCTGCCAGACCGGGACCGTTCTGACCCAGCACAAGAAGTGGCAGAGGGGCTGGCTGGGGCATGAAGCTACTTCATTGTGAGCCTAGCTGGCAGACAGCTGCTTCACAGAAACTGGCCAGCCCCAGCCAGCCCCATCAGTATCTATACATGCATTGCGGTGGAGAAACTAACTCCACCATAGGACAGAACTTATATTTGACAGTAGTATCCTATAATGGAGTTAATTAGTTTACTCTGTCTTAATAATACTGCACATGGTAGACGGTGACACTTTACTGTGGAGCTAATTAGGCAACAGCAGTAAACAGCTCATGTAGATGTACTCAGTGCATTACAAATGTACTGCTCCAGGTTTAGATTTAGGCAGCTTAAAATAAGCCATCTAAACTTAATCTGGGTCCTGCACATTTCTGGTCACACCCTAAAGAGCAGAAACAAGGACAAACAAAGCAAGCAGAAAGTGGAAAAGAAAGTGTTGTTTCAAAGAAAAAATTAAAGTTATTCTGAGCCTCTTTTCATAGACCTGCCCTATGAGAAGAGGCCGAGGGACCTGAATCTCTTCAGTCTCCACAAGAGGAGACTGAGGGGGGATCTTGTGGCTGCCTACAACCTTATCAGGGGTCACCAGCAGGGACTCGGGGAAAGTCTGTTCACCAGGGCCCCCCTTGGAGTCACCAGGAACAATGGCCACAAGCTGAGGGAGGATAGGTTTAGGTTAGATATTAGAAAGAACTACTTCACTGTAAGGGTGGCCAGAGCCTGGAATAGGCTTCCCAGAGAGGTGGTGCTCTCACCTTCCCAGGAAATCTTCAAGAGGAAACTGGATAGGCACCTGGCTGGGGTCTTATGACCCCTCCCACCCCCAGTGCTCATTCCTGCCCATTCTATGATTCTAATGTGTTTTCTTTTACTCATATTTTTTTCAAACTGCTATCTTAGCCAATAGTGCTCTACACTTGCCTAGTCCTTTTGGAAATAAGCAACACCTTGAGAAGACTAGCTACTTCAAATTATTGCCACCGACAGACTTTTTCCCCTCATAGATAGTACAAATCATTCTAAGAACTACCTCAAAAATAAATGAAAAATAATAGTTTTTAAAATAGCTCCTATAATATTTAAACCTTATGGGAAATTCAGCATATTAGCAAAAAAAGACATTGTTTCCATCAGAAAGGATACTTCACATTGTCCTTTCAGGACAGTACAGAGCAATTTGCATGGCTTAAAACAGAACATAACAGAATATCTGGGAGGTGCCAAATTTCTTGTCAGGGAGTAGATTTGGAAGGCATATTCCTTTCAGAGAAAGGCCTTCAGAAAATGGCACATTTTATGTATGATACACTACCTAGAGATTCTCCATCAAGATAAATTCTAAGGCTATATCCAGATATGCAGGAGCGTGCACTTGCAGTAGCACAAATAGCAGTGGCACAAATTTTTGCCACTACTTTGTACCTTAGCACACACCCATACACATGCACTTTGGTGAGGGACAAATTGTTCTGCTTCAAGCCAACTTCCCTTTCCCTGCTTCTCCTGACCCCTGGCAGCCAAAGCATCTCCCTAAAGGGCCAAGCCTCTGTTCCAGTGCACAGTACTGTAGCTTGCACCATACTGCTTTCCCCCTACCCCACCTCAGTGGTTTGTTTGGTTTTTTTACTACCAGGAAATCCCAGTAGCAATTTTTGACCCTGTGCTACAAATTTGCAGCACTGGACTTTTTTTATGTTCCAGGAGTCTGGTTTGTGGTACTGCAAAGAGGTTTGTGATGCCACAAACCCCATGTGGCAGCATATCTGGACACAGCCTATGATGTTATTCACTGTGGAACTAATTTTTAATTTTGTTTAAGTTACTAATGTAATTCTCAAGGCTACCACATATAAGTATGCACCAAATCTAAGTTCCACTGAAACTGGTGGGAAAATGAAGCAATAGAGCTGGGTATATGAAGTTTTTTTTCAGTTGAGTACCTAAAGTGAAAAAAAATTGGTGGGGGAAATAATTTTCAGTTGAAACAAAACACAGATGTTTTTGTTTCTTTCATTACAACCCCTCCCCCCAAACCATTCATTTTTGTCAAACAAAAGCATTTTCAAGAGCTCACAACATAATATTTTTGCTTTGTATTTAACCCTTTTCAGTAAACTTTTTAAAATGCAGGGGAAAGCACATTTTCAAAGATTTTGTTTATAAAGTATTAATACAAAATATTTCAGCGTTTTCAAAATGCTTCAACCTTTTTAATTTTTCCCGCAACAATTTTTTTTCTGTCTAAAACCCATTTCCTGAATTGATCCAAAAAAACCCCAACAGACATACTATGGCATCTCCCTAGCAGGAAGCTGATGTCTTTCA